AGCGCAGCTCAAAAAGACAAAATCAAGTATTGAAATGAAATGTGTAAAGACCTAGTGTTAGAAAACCAAGAGGGAAGAACATGCTCAGCATTTCTCAAGCTGAAAGAACTGAAGAAAATATTCAAGCGTCGACTTGTAATATTAAAGGAGCTCTGGTAGCGTAGTGCTTACGAATCGGGCTGCGAACCTTAAGGTCAGCGGTTGGAAACTACCAGCCGTTCCGCGGGAGAAAGATGAGGCTTTCTACTCCTGTAAGGATTTACACCCTCGGAAACCCTGTACAGGGTCGCTATGGGTCGGAACTGACTCGACGGCACTTAACAACAACAACATGGGCACAATACTGTATGATGCAGAAAGCATCAAAAGAAAATGGAAGGAATATTCAGAGTCACTCTACCAAAAAGAAACGGTCTATGTTCAACCACGTCAAGAAGTAGCACGTGACCAAGAACCAAAGATACTGAAGGAAGAAATCCAAGCTACACTGAAGACATTGGTGAAAACAAAGTCTCCAGTTAATGAGAGCATACAAATTGAAACCTCTCAACAAACCGATATGACACCGAAGCACTCACTCATCTATGCCAAGAAATTTGGACTACAGCGCAGCTACCTGGCCAACCAATGAAAAAAAGGCCATATCCGTGACCATTACAAAGAAAGATGACCCTATGGAATGCAGAAATCATTGAACAATGTGATTAATAACACATGCAAGTAAAATTTTACTGGAGGAATTAAAAAATGGTTGTAAGACTACATCGGCAAGAAGCTGCCAGGAATTCAAGGTGGATTCAGAAGAAATTGTGGATGGATCATAACAAACAATGGAAATCATTGAGAAGAATGAGTATTCCAGAACACTTAATTATGCATATGAGGAACCGGTACATAAACCAAGAGGCAGTTGTTAGAACAGAATAAGGGGGAATACTGAATGGTTTAAGCAGCTCGGGTAGCATAGTAGTTACAAGCTGGGCTGCTAACCTCTAGATCAGCAGTTCAAAACTACCAGCTGTTCCACAGGAGAAAGATGAGGCTTTCTGCTCTCGTAAAAATTTACAGCCTCGGAAACCTTACACAGGGTGTGGCTCCACGGCCCATCACCACCACTACTACCACCATCACTGAATGATTTAATCAGGAAAGGTGTACACCAGAGGTGTATTCCTTCAACATACTTATTCAATCTGTATGGTGAACAAAAAATCCAGAAGCTGGATTACACAAAGATGGCGTCAGCATTGGCTGAAACATTAACAACCTGTGATATGCAAATGATACAACCTTGCTTGCTGGATGGGAAAAGGACTTAAAATGCTGATAAAGATCAAAGACAACAAAATCCTTTAGTATGGGTTGCACCTTAAAGTAAAGAAAACAAACTCCTCACAACTGAACCAATAAATAAGGTTATGAAAAATGGAGAAAAGATTGAAGTTGTCAAAGAATTTCATTTTGCTTAGATCCACAATCAACACTCATGGAAGCAGCATTCTAGAAATCAAACAACATATTGCATTAGGCAAACTGCTACAAAAGAGCTTTTTAAGGTGTAAAAGAAGAAAAGTTATCAGTTTGAGAACTAAGGAGTTCCTGACCCAAACCATGGTATTTTCCATTGTCTCATCATATGCATTTGAAGACTAGACAATGAATAAGGAAACTGGAGAAGAATAGACCCATTTGAGTTATGGTGTTGTACAAGAAAATTAAAAGTACTATGGTCTGCCAGAAAAGCAAACAAATCTGTCTTGGAAGAAGTGCAACCAGAATGCTCCTTTGAAGGGAGTACAATGAGACTTTTGTGTCTCATTTTTCAGACATGTTATCACGTGGGATCAGTCCCTGAAAAGGGATATCATGCTTGGTACATGGAGGGTCAGCATAAGAGGAAGGTGCCCAAGAAGATGGACTGACACACAGTGACAGCAATAATTGGCTCAAATAAATGTGAGGCAGGAACGAGACCACGCAATGTTTTGTTCTGTTGTGGAAAAGGTCATTAATGAGTCGGAACTGACATGTAACAACAAGGCTACAAGTAAATAGAGTTGCAGAAAAAAGAGGAAAGGGTAAGAAATTTGAAGAAATAATAACTTTACAATTTTCACATTTGTTGAAACTCTAAATCCATACACCAAAGGCGCTTAATGCATCTGTACCATGACAAATACAAGGACAATTACACCATATCACCAATTACCCAAATTGTTGAAATGCAGTCGTACAGAAAATCTTTAAAGTCAAAGAAGAAAAGACTCAAAACAGGTAAGTGCAGACTTCTCATCAAAAAAAAATATATAAAACTTATAAAATCATGGAACACTTCAAAGGTACTGACAAAAAAATAAAGCCTGTCCAACTTGAATTCTCTATCCAGCAAGAACACTCTTTTTAGATGGTTAAAAAAAAAAAACACAAAAAGCATAGTGATACATTGTCATAATGAGAGAGTCATGGCCAGGAGACCCTCACTCTAAGAAATGTTAAAGTTCTTCAAGCAATAAAAAAATTGTATCAAATGGGAACTATTAAATACAATATATATCACCTTCTTTCAAATAAAAAATACTTAAAGAAACAATGTTAACCTTGGGGCTTACAATGTGTAGACATAAAATACACATGACACTAGTACAAAGAACAGGAAGTAACAATAGGTACTGTTTGAAGATTTAGACACTAAAGGGAAAGTGGTATGATACTATGTGTAGACAGAATGTGTTTATTGTATAACCTAGAGCAAGCTCATAAAGCATAGCGACTCAGGTAGAGGCATAGCTAATGAGTCAAAATACTATAACAAAGGCAATATTCAATCCAAAAACAGGCAAGAAGAGGGGGGACATGGCACAATGGTAATATGAGGCTAATAGGAATATATATATATATGAAGAAAGATGAGGCTTTCTACTCCTGTCAAGATTTGCAGCCTTGGAAACCCTGTACAGGGTCACTATGGGTCGGAATCGGCTCAACAGCACTTAACAACAACAAGGAGCTCTGGTAGCGTAGTGGTTAAGAATCAGGCTGCTGACCTCACAGTCAGCAGTTCAAAACTACCAGCCATTCCACAGTAGAAAGATGAGGCTTTCTGCTCCTGTAAGGATTTATAGCCTC